CTCTCATTTATGTCACATATCAAGCATAGAGTGGAAGTAACATAAAGATAATAAATTGTACTTATAAATGATTGATATCTGATCGTAATTACTCAGTAAGACTACTAAGATGATTTATTTCTATAATTATCTCTATCTATAGTACGTTAATTATTGAGCAACAATAGAATGATTTATGAGTAATTACGATGTCTTCATTATCTCTTTCTATAAGAGCATTAAGATTTATTCGTAAATGTATTATAGACATTCCCATTAAATCCTTCGTTTATTTTCTGTTGATGTACCATCGATGGATGTACGATACGTGACGGCTAAAATGTTTAGAATTAAACGGGATCATTTTCTGGACACAATGAGCTAAATTGATGACACTGTTCGCTTTTGTCCACGCACAAACAAACGATAACGTAAATCAAAAGAATTGCCGTTTACGCTGAAGTGAATACCTACTCCAAGTCTCCGCTATATTTTATATCAGATATCCTGTATATATATAAATGTATATGTGTATGTGTGAGTTTGTATGTATATATATAAAGGGGGAATTTAAGCCGCACCACGCAGCAGGCGAACCACTCTTTTTCCTCCTTTTTCTTGTGACATGTTAGTTTACCATCCGCATCAGTTGGCACGGCAGAAGGACCGCTGTGCAGCGTACCAAGCGTTGTATAAAATTGTGATTTAATTGTTCGTGAGACCGAAAACCTTCTGCAAATGCTTCCACCTTTCTTAATTGCGCTCCGAGCGATGGTCAGGCATGCAAACATCAACTGGCAGGTACCTTCATACAACGTAAATAGTTGTTTGCCATTGTCTTCGATGCTATTATTGCGAAAAGCAAAGAATTAATTTTTGCTGAAATTATAAGGTATTCAGAGATAGGAAACATAAATAATATTTCTGTATACAAGAAGAAGAATAGTATCGATTAATAACTTGAAAATGGCTTTTCCGCGATGGCCGTTCTCCAAGTGATGAATCTAAGTATCTTATTCAGTCGAGAGTGGCTGGATTATAACTTTCCACGGATTTAACCGGAAAGGTAACAGCGGCGGGCGGCATTATCTATTATCTAAATAATACACATTTTGAAGTATGGGAATTAAGGACAATTGCGAAGACAAAGCGTTTGCTCTTCCACGTGAATGGGAATTAGAGAACAAATAGAAATAAAATAAACACTTAGCAAGTTTGAAAGTAATTACACGGCATATAATTGTTAGAAAATTACAGAAGTTGGGCGAGCAATCGGTGGATTAGAGGGAACACGAACAGAAACAAACGAATACATTCCCATGTAATTTCCAGCTGTAATTTTACAAAAGTGAACGACCCCCGCACGACGAGTACCAGAAACAACATCAACATGCTAAATTCAATATCATTAAAATACAATCAATAGGTGCAGGGATTATTATAGTCATTTGCTCGGCTACTTCTTTCGAACGAGACCATTTCAAATGCACGACTGTAGTTACATCGATTTCCAGTGCAGATAATATTTCATCATTTAAAAAGAAATTGTACATGCACCACCATGTTACTTATATTCTGCATGTCCAATTTAATTATTTCGTACAATTCTGCATATTTATTCCAACTATGATTACAGAAAAGTCTTACAAAATTTTGTGATAAAATTTTTAGAAAAAAATAATATAAATCGATTTATCTGTTTTTATTATTATTGCAACAATGAATTACATAATGTAAAAAAAAACGCTGCGAACTGTTGTTGACTTACATATTGTTTTAAAGTAAATATAAGTAATAATTACAATTAAATGAAATTAGATTCAGTCTATGCACATTCAGTATATTGCACCTTTATAAGTACATTGGCTGATCGCTTAACGAACAGTTCGGACTACTAACAAATCGGATATCGAACAACATTGCATTCGGACAAAATGTTCGGATAACGAACAACTTACTTATTTAAATTACTATTTTTTTTGTATAATAATATTATTTCTTTGTATTCCCAATATTTTGTTAAGCAATACTTTCTATACTTTATTAATTCACCTTGACCATTAAAAAGTATTCAGTACGTTGGCAATAAATTTTTCCATTTGGCCGTAGGCTTAACTCCATTGGGGCTTAATCATTGTGGCTTTATCAATGGCGCGCATATTGGGGTCCTGAGTCTGAGTAATTATTAGATAATCCAAAAATGCAATAAAAACTTTTATTGCTCATTGTTCCAATAATCCAAGAAAATCCTAATAATTATTCTATACCCTTTTAAAATTAAATATACATACATCTAAAATATAATTTCAGTGAAAAAAGCATCCAGAGTTCAAACTAGTAGGGTTTCAATTTAGGACGAATATTTAGGTGCATTTCAAATATATTTATCTATTTGCTGATTTCATTTTTCTAATTGTCTTTAATAATATGAATTATATCAAAAGGGTTGAAAATATTTCTTTTTTTATCGAAAGATATGATTTTAATAACAAAATAAATTGTTAGCTATCCAGTGGAACCTCGCTTAACGAGCAAAATGAATTTTAAGAAAAATGACTCGCTTAACGAGCGACGTTTCGCATAACGAGTGACGATGAGAAGAGAAGTCTACGAGTAAAAATCCGGAAATTTTGGAACAGATTAAACTGGTTAAGCGACGTTCCACTGTATTTTATAGAATATGGAATAAATTTGTAATTATTATGAATTTAAACCTTCTGTTCAATGATTTAACTGTAATTTACTGATACACTTACGTTTTATTAAACATCTATAGTCTTCTGAGAATTAATTGTTGTTTCTGATCTATTATCAACACACATTGATAAATTGTTACTTGATTAATATAAGTGGTTACAAAGATTTTTATAAGAAAATAATCCCTGTTACTTTTTCTGTGTTGTAAATATATATGTAACAAATGTTCGGTCATTGTTAGAGTACAATGAAAGAAGTTCATAAACAATGGACTGTTTTGGAAAGCATTCGCAGACAAATAAATATAAAAGAGGAAGTAAATTATGAACAATTTGTATCTACAATTTGCGTAAAGTGGAAATAAAGTAGTGAACCGAAAATAAGGGGATCGCGCGTATAGTTTGGAGAAGTTACTCGGTGACGACAATAGTCCCTTTCTTATATTAAGCCATAAAAGCATCATAAAACAAATATGTGGCGGGTTCTTAAGACCAAATGCTGCGATAATAGGGAACATCCCAGATATATATAGAATATACGTCTAAATAACGTAATATACTTTTTTTTTACAGAACTTTTGACCTCGCACGTTCTAATAAGACAATTAAATTTAATGAAGAAAAAATATATTTATATTGTTCAAATACAATATTATATGAAAATCTATTAAATTCATCTATTTTCATATTATAATTCACGGAAAATAGTAGAAAAATTAAACTGAAATAAATGGATTTTTTTTAGTTTAATTTTGGACAAAATCATTTCAAAATAAAGTATTATTCATATATAATTGTTTTTCTTGGGAAATAACTTTCTTCAATTTTTTATTATAACAATAATTTGATTATAATAATTTATATCCTTTCTGATTTGTGCAACAAAAAAAATATGATGCAAATTAACTTTCCATTTCCAAACAAATAATCCAATTATTCTAAACTTTCACACTGAGTGATCTTGTGAAATCAGGGAATTAAATAGATGTAAGATAAATCGTCGATTGTATCTAATTGTTACTGCCTACTGCAAGTGAAAGGACGATTTGTGTATAGCATTATTATTGATTATGTACCGATATTAGTGGAAATTGACTTTATTCACGCCATGGGGCTTTTCATGAATATTACGAAAATAAATCAATGCGGCACTCAGTAAGAACGTTTGTTATATAAAATAGGTTATCGATGTGTTTGCTTTCCTTTGCAATTGCACATTTATATTCAGAATAGTAATAGCACTATTTATTATCTGAGAAGTAGATAAAAGGTCTCAATTATAAATCATTAAATGAAATCAAGGAAAGCTCTAGGTGGCCTCTTTAAAAGTTTTAATGGACTAAAAAAACAATAATATCTTAATGTAAATCTAATATCAACTAATAATTAATTTACGTTCTACATTGTCAAATGTGTTCAATCCACTACATTAATATTAAAATTTAAACAAATAGTACCTCGCATAGTTCGGATTCGCTAAATTTTATAACAATAATTTTAATTGACAAAATAATAAAAAAAAATTTCTTTTAAATTAAAATTTAAAAATATAAATAAGAACAGTTAATTATTTTAAAAAGTTATGCTGTATGATTTTTTTTAATAATGCCAAATTTAATTGCTGAAGGTTTTGAAATTGAACACGAATGAATGAATGAATTGTGTAACCCAAAATATAATCAAAAAAGTAATTCGGGTCGCTTTGTCTGTTCCTTCGAGGGAGAGAATGTTTGTCGGCGGTGCCGGGATGTCAGAAAATTTGTGTGGATGCATAAATTATAATTATAATAGGTAATCTAATAATGGCAGAGTAATGGGAAATGCGGGACATATTGTTAAACGAAGCATTGCTTGGAATAATTGATTTTACCGCCGTAGAGAAAATGTTATTTCGCATTTGCCTAATCCCATTGAAGATATTACCTTACCTTATTGACATGTCCCCCCTCCTTTTATATGTATATATATAAGACTTTACCCTCAGACCATCTTAACCCCCCCTGGTTAATATTAATGAGACTCGCCGAAGTCATACTAAAGCAAAAACAACGGAACGGATTATTTGGGGATTAGACTCAGTCACCACAGAGTGCCTTTGCTGTCTCAATACTACCTACTATTCTGCCTATAAGAAGACACGAAAATCTTCCCTCTACGACATATGCAAATTAATTGCACTATTGGATTTTGTGATTTGATGAAAATCTTGTTAAAGTGAACAAAACGTAATTTATGTAATTCTACTATTCAATAGTACTAGACAATGTAATAAGTAGTTATTATTAAATTTACTATATTAAACATTCTTATTTTAATTATTTTCAGATGATACCACGCCTAGGACTTCGTGAGAACGATGCATTTTACAATCGTTCCTTTGCTTGCACTTTTTTTAAGAGTTGCTCACGCTGTAGATCCATGTAAGTATAAAAGTTAATAAAAAATCAAAAATTATGGGATTAACAACATACAATTAGTGTTATATTATTAACTGAAAATTATTAAATGATTTATGCAATTGAATAGTAAAATAATTTTGTTGCTTGAATTTTATAAATAAGAAAATAAAAAAATTGTCGTTTTTTTGTATGTGCATTAAATTTAAGTTTTTCAAACTTTCAAACTATTCAAGTTTAATCTGATATATAAATACTTTGTTAGACATTTTTGTATACAAGAATAACAGATAGAATAAAGTAAAAAAAAGTATAAAAAATGCTTTCAATTACTTTTCATTGATAATTAAAAAAAAAAGGATTTTTGACGTTATTTCAAAACAAAAAATAGTACAAAAACAATATATAAATATAATATATAAAACAAATAAAAATATATAATATATAGTTAGTGGTAAATTGACTTTAAAATTAATTATTTTTGGCACTATTACTTTGTTAAATTCTATCATATTATGAAAGTGAATATTAATGAAGAATATAAAATTATTAAACAAGTTATAAAGCAACAGCTTCTATTTAAATATATGAGATAGTATATGTAAAGAAAAATTCTAAAGTGGCGTCTACATTTAATTTGTAGTTATTTGCTATATTATCATATGCTAACAAAGATATACCCAACAGAAGCCATGTTGAAAATGAAAAATATTGCACAATAAAATGAAATAAAAGATGTGCATTTTCTGTGTTGAAATTATCAAATATTCTATATACATAAGATATTCTTTTCGCTATCTGGATTTGAAGACAGAACACATATATGTTTATTTTTCCAATCTGAAAAGTAATATATAGGAATGAATCCATGCAAAACGAGGGGAGAGACACAATAAAAACTTATCTAACAAACCAATGATGAGATGAATATATTCCTTGTTGGGCGGAGGGCGAGGTGAATGGGCACTCGGCATCCCCTAATATTCATAAGATGTTGTTGTTATGAAACTTTCCATGTTCCTTATCTTCCATAATATTTCTATAAACGTATGCTCGCTCGCCTCTCCTTCCTGCTCCGTTTCTCCTTAATTTTAAAGCAAAATTTCGGCATTGAAAGGGAGATGAAAACACATGCGATTCATTTAATAAAGCCCAATGGGACAAAAGAAAACGAGCCGTATTAAAAGTTTTCCCCAGGAATAAGCAGATTGGATTGCGAAATTGCAGACACGGAGCGAATGGAGAGGAACGGAATTGATTATCGAGTGGGGTAAACAACGTTTTAAGAAACGAATCTCCTTAAATACATCATTTTCTTTTCAGAATCGTTTACATTTCTATAAAAAAAATGAAATATTTCTTATTGAAAATGATTTATAATAAGATATAGCTAATAAGTACATCAGGAAATTAACAAATCCAATAGATTTTAGGTAGAACTGCATTATAGAAACTTTCTGTAACACAATATATTGTATATAACCGCATACTTTGCATACTTGAAGTTTTGAAGTTCTAGATTAGTGTCAAACTGGTTACCCGCACTATACGAGATATTTCGGTAAATGAAAAAGTATAATTATTGATTATAAAATTCACAAATAAACTTTTATAACTAAAATACTTTTTTTTGCTGAAAATTCTGTTTTACAGATAAATGTATTTTCAGATAAAAAAAGGGACGAAAGGAAACAAAAATCGCGTCCATAAAATAAATCCGGAGGATAAATCTCCGGCGTAAATCGGCCGGGATAAATGCATAAACGAAAAAATTAAAATAATTCAGCGATTGTATTTAGGCCGAACGGCAGCACAATGGGCTAAATACATAATGTATTAGAGATTGCACCCTGCCCGAAATGAACAATAGCAATAAGCCGATAAAATGAAATACTGCTCGAACGGCCGTTTGTAGTATTTCGCAAACAAACCGTCTTTTATACTTCGCATCGGGAAGATTTATAAAGCCATCAGCCATTATATTTCTTTTAAGCCATTCAATGGAATTGAAACCTGAATCACAAAAAAAAAACAACAACAAGCAGAGTACAGAAGTGAGTGGAAAGTGAATAAAAAGTTGGATGTATAAATCACACAACTTTATAGCCAATTATACTTTATAGCAATGCAACATATCATTGTGGGGAAGTTTACGTATTTTCTTTAGAAATAAGATTTACATTCGTTTATATATGTTCTTTGTTTATTTTTTTTAATGTGAAATAAACTTAGGTCAAATTTGTATTTAAAGAAAAGAAACATGTCTGGGGTTCATTGTGGCGCAAGAAGTTATCAGAGAAGATCCAAGGATAATCTAGTTGAAATGTTACAAGAAGTTCTTGAAAGTTTAATCATTTCGAGGATGGCTTGTAATGATGGGTTATGCTCGACGCTATGCGGCACCTCGTATTGACTTGACTTCGGGGCATCATTACGTAAGCGCAGCTCAGTTGACCACGTAACTATGTAAAAACATTACAAAATATCTTGCACTACTTCAATTTAATTCCTCGAGGACTGCATATAAATATATTTTATAACCACTGCGGTCACAATGAAAACTTGCGATTTAAAGTGCAAAAAGTATGTTTACATCACGTTAGATATGAAATGATCATCGATAATGTGTTTACAGAAGTTGCAGCAGCCCTTGGCAAAAGTCAGTTTCGCAAGTGTATTTATAAGGGGAGGCTGGGAATGGTGCAACGCCTGACCGAGCGGAGGCTCCTTTCCCGAAGTTTTAACATTTTTATAGGTCGTTAGAAGGAGATCGCGGGATTTCTGCTTAACATTTTGTGCAACATGGATACGAAACGCGCTCGCAATGTTTGCAAGTCAGATTACGACGGAATTTTAAAACTGGGAATTATATATATATAGATATTCTCAGCGGCAAATATTGTTCTGGAAAAATAACAATATTTAAATCGGATTTCCTACGAGGAAACAAAACAAATAATGGAAATGAAACGGAAATTTTAACAAGCAAGTAAGGTACAGACATTTCTGCTGAAAACTTTTCTTTTTCCTGTGCGGACATTAACATAATAAGATATTGATGTGATATTTCAGGGCTTTAAAGTTTTATTGTGTTATTTCCCAAATTTCACAAAGTAATTTTATAAGATATACAGTAATTCTTTTTAGTTCTTTAAGTTGAAGTAATGCCATAGTCTGCGTTAATAGAAAACTTTATACGCTATGCGTGGTATGAAACCTTAATATAACTGATTTCACTAATAATCAAACTGAAGAGGCAAATTCAAATCCATCAATTAATTCTTTATTTATTTTTTTAATGATAATATTAAGATACTGTAATCAAATACTCTCTGCTACCTTATATATCACACACACAGCATTACAACTTTTTTTTTTAAATTTGAATTATAGAAATGCAACTATCGTGCTAAATATGAAGTATTCATTTTTTATTTAAAATTAACTTATAAGTAAAAGTCTAGTCTTAACAGATTAAGAGGGATACTTGTATTATTCCAGTTGTTATAGTTATTATCTGTTAAATATAGCATATATAACAGTTCTATCAACGATTACTGTCAGAAAACTATATGATTAATGTATGATATTCAATCAAAACAAAGTAGGCATCATTATAAATTATCAACAATCAAAGTTGCGTCAAACGTAAAAGTCTATAATCATCTTAAATTATTGTGAATATAAATTAAGCTTATTTTCTGATTGATGTTCGAATTTCAATTCGAATTGCACCATGTTTAAGTACTTACTATAAAAGAGTGTATTCTATCTTTGTACATCATTAGAAGAAGCCATATTGACGTATTGCTTGGAATGTTTTAATAGAATGTAGAAATGATTGATAAAAAGTATTATTCAGAGCATTTCCATTGTTTTCGAAGGAAGTTTGACAGTTGGACACTCGTGACACCAGACGTAAAAATCTATAATCATCTTAAATTATTGTATAAATTAAGCTTATTTTCTGATTGATGTTCGAATTGCACCATGTTTTATAAATGTTTAAGTACTATAAAAGAGTGTGTTCCATTTTATATAACAGTTGAAGAAGCAACTTGTTTGGAATTTTAATGTAGAAATTATTGATAAAAAGTATCAAGAAATAAGAAATATGTTCTCTATTTTATTGGTCAAAGTAAGAAATTTTATCCTCGTAACTATTTTTTTCCAAACACGGGAAAAAAAATTATTTTAACTTTCGTAATATTAATATATCTTTGTCAGATATGTTAATACAAATTTAATCTATGAAATTTTTAGTTTATAAATAAATTAATTGAATATAAAATTTAATAAGATCCGATTTTCCCAACACTCGTGTTATTTTTATCGCATATAAAGAGAAGAGAATATAACCCACTTCTTTTTTCATTTTTATTACGTTATGTGGGTATTATCCATATGGAATGTGTTCATAACATAAAGGGACAATTAAGTGAAAATAATGCACCGTCTTTTTTAATGACCCAAATGGTGAATTATTGGACGATTCAGAGATGGTTGTTTACTATATATCTACATATACATATTATTCAGCAGTAGTAGGAGTAAAAATCAATTATACCAAAGTTGTGCGGTAGTAAATAATCCGTGCGGAGCCGCTCCTTCCCTGTAAGCTAATTTACGCCCGTTCGTACATATTGAATCATGGGGAAATTAAAAAGTCGATACACACACACAAAACAACATTTTCAGGGCTCCGTGACTCAGACAAAAAATGTTGATTCCTTTACGCCACCATCCCTGAAATTGTATTTCCATAACGGTAAACATAATCAAAAACGTTATATATTAAAAAAAAGCGAACCTAGAAGTTTCCGTATCCGAGGAAAGTTAATTAAGCCGAAGTTATTCATGAAATATGATGATAGAACGGGCTTTTGTAGATTTATTTTTAGTTACATTTTGATTGGGAATTCTCGATGTAATTATGGAGTTCTTTTTAAGCTTCCAATATGTAAGCAGATTAATTAAAGAGGAATTTCCTTGATGCTCTCAAATACAGATATAACGAGAAAGCAGACTCTTCTTCATAATTTATATATTACCATTGTAGTTTATAATATTTTTATTCTATGTAATACAAAATCAGGTATTTTATGAAATACCTGTTTTCGGTAGTTAATTTGTATAATATTGAGATTATTTGATGCTTCAATTAGATATTCTATACATTATCATATAATATAAAGTAAGAAGTAAATATATGCAGGTTGAAAAATTGCATCCGTTATTTCATGTAATAACTAAATTTTTCATAGTCTTACTGGTAACAAACAAATGAAAGTAATTTTGCATGAGTTTGTGTTATGGAACGGGGCTGTTGGTTTATTGATTTTCATTATAACAACATTTTTCATCCAATTTCACCTTTGCAAGTGCAGCCGAACCGTAAATTTGTTATCCTATTTACAGATTTATTGTTTACTTAACTAGCCGTGCACCCATGAATGCGTTACATAATTCCGCATATTTATTTATCGAATATATAGCTAAATTTAAAAAAAAAATGTATGTGCGCCGGATTCGAAAACTTTTGTTTGCTGTTGATTGATACAAATTACTGATGAAATTGTCGAAACAGTTTTTTCGCATGTTTTTTCTGACAAACAATTTTTCTTTGTTTCACAAGTGAATGGAGATTTATTTACATTCGGTACAATATACGGGCAATCGTCCAACATTCTTGATAAATTTAAACAAATTTTAGATATTTTAGAAATATATATATAAAAAACGTTATTACATGAAGATTAAAAAACGATTAGCATAGTTTATTATAATAAAGTTTAATTATTTAACAGTAATTAACTTAATGTTGTGTACAATTGCAATCAAAATGTTGTTATTAAATTTTACAAACATTTTGATAATTTAGTAAAAAAATAATTAATTATATTTATAAAAAAAATACATAAAAATAAAATATTATTTAGAACTATTGCAAAAGAACTAAATTGACTACAGAATTTTCCGTTCTTACAAAAAATAAATTTGTAATAGAAATTACACAGATGAATCGAACAAAATTAAAATTATCTAAAATATTTATTTTAAAAATTAGTAAATAAACTTATTTACTAATGTTATTTTTGTTTGGTGGTGGATTCTCAGCGGCCGGAAAACGCAATCACGACTGTATGTTATTACTATCAAGCTTTTTTTTTTTAAATGCTTTGCACGTCTCTAACGTACATGATTACAGCTTGAACTTGATTCTGATCTGAGCAACACGAAATCAATATAGCGCAAATAGTCCGTACCAAACATATTTCCAGATTCTAACCATATTGGCTTTAATAAAATCACATTTTATATTTATGGCAAATTTTATTGAAAACGGTTATTGTTCGTATTTTTAAGCTTCACAGATCAACGATGGTCAGAAACCCCGAAGGGAATCAAATTGATGTTGTACGTGGTTGGTCTGTAAGATCTTTTAATCAACATTTTACAACTCATTTAATAAAAATAGTTGATTTGGAAATATTAATAATTGGAAATGTATATTACATTCTATTTTCGGCTTTTTCAGGAATTATAAATTCAAGAAAAAATCCACTGAAAATCTACTTAAAACTATTCTTGGTACAAAATAGCTATTGAACTTTTTTTTTATAATTTTCAGCTCTTGACATAAAAAAATAATAAAAAAATGTTTCTTATAATTATTTTTCATTCATATAATAATTATTTAAGTTATACATAACTATTTTAGTTTATAAAATTTAAAAATCTGTAGTCCAATTATTTTTTTAAAATTTTATTTTATTTCTCCCTCCGTTCCAAAATAAGTACCCACTTTCATAAATAGGATATGCAATGGAATAACGAGTATTTTCACAACTAAATTATAATATAAAATGAAAAACATTTGAAAATTAACACTTATAAATAACATTTAACAAATTAGTGACTATAAACGGTCAAGTTTCTGACGTGCTGACAATGTTCCCTGCAAACGCAGTTTGTCCTCGCTCATGTGAGGAATCTTGTAATCGTTGCCTCCTTTATGAAACATGGTCAATTCCATATACTAATGCATTGTAATGCACGTTAAAGAAACCCAAATAAAGCGGGGTTGTTTGATAAATCAGTCTTATATTCCACCCATTTTCAATACTACCGAGAACAACTTTCTCATCATTAACACTGGATTTTGATTGGCATCTACTACCAATAGGCCATTTTTCTTTTATTGCGGGAATTCATTTATCTGTAATTGTTCGAATCTAGACTTTTTGGGTAGTTTTTGCAATGACGATCATAATAATTAACCTTAAACTAATTGTCAGCTAGTAAGAAACCAAACTAACAATTGTTGTATATAAATGTACATTTATTGTAATAAATATATGTCATTCTCATTATAAATTTATGTTACAATCTACTTTTTTCCTAGCGCAATGTATTGCACCGCTGGGTATGGAGAACGGAGCCATACGTGATGATGATATATCGGCTAGCTCCTCGTTCGAGAACGGAAATGTTGGACCGCAGCATGGACGGTGAGTACCAGCAGGACTGGTTGAAATTTCGCTAAATATTTAAAGTTCATTTCGGGGTGAGAGAGAGATAGAGAAGGATAACGAAGGTTGGTTTCAAAATAAACACGGGAGTGGAGTTTGGGGTGGGCACGAGCCGCCAATTAATTAGAGATAATCTCGCATGGCAATCTGCCCGCGAATCTTGTAGTGCCCGTTTTAAAAATACCCAACAGAGACTCCGGTCTATAAATACGGTCTACAGCCACGACGCAGAGAGAGACGGAGAGTTAATGTATGAAAGAGAGTGTATGTGATAGAGAGAGAGAGAGAGGACTAACAGACGTGCCCTTCTGCTCGTTGAGGGGGCAAAAAGTTGTTAATTTTAATTGTAAAATAACACGGGATATTGTTTTTCAGCGTGAGGACGGAGCGGAACGGCGGAGCGTGGTGTCCCCAGAAACAGGCAACAACGGAACCGGAAGAGTGGCTGCAGATCGACTTGAAGACGGCGCACGTGATCACATCGGTCGGCACGCAGGGAAGGTTTGGGAACGGCCAGGGGGTCGAATTCGCCGAAGCGTACATGCTCGAGTATTGGAGGCCCCGATTGAACAAATGGATCAAATATCATAATTATAAAGGGGAAGAGGTAATTATACCATATTTAATTAAATGCGGTGGTTCCACTTCACGGGGATGGAGAGAACTTTACTTTCCGGAGAAAAGGGTTTTTAGTTTTTGCCTCGAGGGCAAAGTTATCCGACACCATTACGGCGCCAGGGGGGAAACGCTGAAATAATGAACGAAAAGTATAGTTGATTTGATTGAAATTCGGTATTCCTAATGAGCAAACAAATTTCCAGACATCATTTATTTTAACTGATATATTATAATGCAATTCTCCTATCGACCTAAAGATAAATTCAAGTAATCATACATCATAAGTCAGTTAAAGTTACAAATACACTTTTTGTATTTAAGTTTACTATTATAAAAAAAATAAGAATATTATTTATTAATAATAATAATGTTTATTGCATCAATCGTTCAACAAAATAACATATACAGTAATAAAAAACAAACTAAATATTTTTTTATTGATTCCATTTCTTACCAAATTGTAAATAAATATTTAAAATGGAAATAGCGTTGATTCAGTATTAAAAATTATATAATTTATACTAGATTATAAAATGAATACATTAATGGTGTACAAACTATGTGCATCACAATAAGCACTCATATAACGTACATCCATTATATGTACCTTCGATAATACGTACATGGTTATTTTTCTCAATATACGGTAAATATTACGCTGACTAAATACTTGATATATTTACATCTGTTGATAGCACTTTAACGACTCTTGATTTTCAACTTCCACTTATCTGTCTGTCCACCAGTCTTCTTCTGTCTCTCTTATTCTCAGTTCCTGCTTGTTTGTTTCTCTTTTATTTCTATTTCCTGTCGTGTATGTTTGAAGATTTGTTTTGAGTGCCGTTCTTCCGGCATTCTTTGCATGTGATTATACCATCTTCGCTGATGAGTTCATGCGTCATCCATTAATGTATGAGTAGTTCACATAACATAATTTCTTGGATCCTCTCATTGGTAAATTAACCTTATTTATTTATCTACAACCTGTATCAAGACTTATATGGGTAAACTTAATATTATAATATGTTTCCATATTTCATTTCAATATTACAATACATTTTATGATTGGATGTTGTTCTTATCCAAAACATGATTTTCTAATAAATATATAAATTAGTATATAACAATTAGTTTTTACTTTGAATTAATTATTGACACATTGTGTTATATATTTAAATAATTTACGTTATTTTTGCAAAACGAATATCAGTTCTATATTACATTCCAGTTGCAATATCAATCATATGAGAGCAGCTGCCAGGTTTCAGACATCGCTAACCTTTCAGGCAATGTATACGAAAAAAACCAATGAAAATATTGTGGTTTGCTTCGGACAATCCGCTTAAAGGCTTACACCGTGCGGTAAAGAAAACGGAGATACTCCCAGGAAACCACTTTTTTGTGTCCCATGTCAGTCAAATCGATATTTCAATATCTATAAAAAAAATATATCAACTATTTTCTGTCTTTTGCAATAACTTTTTAGTTTATATCAAATTTTATTTTGAATAATGTTACATTTACGAAAATACCTAATATTTTTGAAAACATTGGTAATATTAACAATTTGCTATTAAAACATTCTACAACATTTTATATAATATTAGGTTTTGTTAAATGATGTGTGAAAATGCGAGGGGATATTTTTGTGATTATTATGTATAAATTGTATATAATATAGAATTGTCAACATGTGCACAGTTAATTAGATATACAGGTGTGCCGTATTCTCCCCCATTTTTGGTGAATGTAAATGTAAATTAAGTATACATTACACCCATGTTTTTATGTTAAACTTTATAACATTCCTTTAGGACAAGGCAAGTATTGATTACAACTCTAAAAATAACTGAAAATAATTTCTGGAAGTTCGTGAAACGCAAAGTATGAATTGTCTAGTTATTAGTAAAAGTCATGGTCACATTTGCTTGTAGCATGCATAATATTCCTAATGTACTGCAAAAAATAATTATCTGAAAGTTTAATAGTGGTGTGTAGAGTAAATTTGTTTGGGCCTGGAATAATTGGAATAGGGCTCCCCCCGTCCGCTGCGCTGCACATTTCATCACGCCACCATTAATGACCCTTGTTGACCCTTTCATTAAAACCGAAGCAAATGCAATGCAAACTTTCGGTTTCTGTTCGAGCATTGAAATACATGGCGCTTTCGGGGGAGTCTCCTAAATACGAAAGTGGGAAAACTCCTCTCTGGGGGTGGAGAAACCAAGCGAAGGAAAAAAAATGTATATATAGAAACGAGGCCGAAATCGATTAGTACGTTAGTATATAACCACATTGTATCGTACACAGCGAAGGGCGAGTGAAGGATGGAAAACGTAGAGGCTATGAAATATGAGCGAAAAGGTAAAAAAGGGGGCGCCAAATAGGCGAGCAGCAGTTACGTGACTTCAGGAAATTAGAATGCTTGCATGAGATTCATTACTACCACCCAATGATGTAGATAACAATTACAGCCGAACCTCGTATATCTAAATAATATATTCGTATTATAAATTAAAATATATAATAAAAACGAGAGTGAAAGAAATAAATAAATGTGTGTGTGTTGAGACTAAAGCGGAATTTTCATTATTCATACTCAGTAAATCGCAAATGCAAGTTTATATCAAAAAAAGTCTTGTTCTTATACATTCGTCTGCGAAGTAATATTTTACCTTTTATCGCTGCAAACAAACGAAAGAAGAAAAGTGCAGCGGGATATAAAATAATAAAGCAATTTTATGCTCAATGATTATCTTAACAATAAATAAGAAAATCCCAACATTTTTCTTTAATACACATAATAAACAACGTAAATTGGAAAAGGGATAAGATTTTAACACGAATGATCGATATATAATACTATTTGTTTATTAATAACCTTTGTAATCGATTAAATCCAATACCAATTATATAATAGTTTTTATATATTATAGGAAAGTAAGTCTTCTTATATCATTATATTTCATCAGAGAATTTCATTGTGGTTTACATTAAGCGAATAGACTATCCCAGATAATTTTGTAATTGTTAGGTATAAGCATTTCGTAATCCAAATCTTAACACCTAATTAAACTTGTAAACTGAATCTGAATCACAAATAATTTAATAGCAAAAACTTATAACGTAATAATCTGTATCAGGAAAATATATATGTGTTTTTCTAATGAAGAAATGCTAAGAAAGTATAATATATTACTAGCGTTAGTTAACTGATTCAATATAAAGCAGTTCCACAATATTAATTAATTTGAATCATTCGTGGCAATTAAGTTTTAAGTCCAATCAGCGTGAATTGAAATTCTTTGGATTCTTGGAATGCTTCAAGTTCATTAGCCCGGGATTTGGCTAGATTCTATTTACCGAAGAAAATTACATTTTCTTACCGTCGTGTTATCAAACTTGGGGAATAGTAAAAATAATCCTGCGGAGAGATGAAAAACGAAAGGAAGCGCAGCCCGATGCAATAAAACTCAATACATTTCACGTATTCTCTTCTGGGACTGAATCTGAGATTATGGGCATTCTGCTCATCCGGACTTGTTGATAGCATTTCCTTTTATACGTGATATAACTCTGCGCTAGTTTTATGGCTTATTGCGCTGTGTTTGTTCATACTGTATACACACGATGTTATATATCGGGAAATTGATTTCGCTTTCCCAGATTTTATTAAATCTAATTGATAATGAAAAAGGATCAATTTGTTTGCGATGCGTGTATCTCAATTTTCGTTTTTATTTCAGGTAATAAAGGCGAACACAAACACGTACTTGGAGGCAAAGAAAACGTTGGATCCTCCGATATGGGCCAGCAAAATTCGATTCTACCCGTACAGTTATCATCAAAGAACTGTATGCATGAGAGTGGAGCTCTACGGTTGCAAATGGACGGACGGCATCGTGAGCTATTCAATGCCCCAAGGGGATAAGAGAGGGTCAAATTGGGAATTTTATGATTTCGGATATGATGGCCATTGGGATGGACATGACCTGAAGTACGGACTTGGACAATTAATAGATGGGAAGTTCGGGCAAGACAATTTCAAATTGGACTTTTACGATGACCTGCAGACTTGGGTGGGTTGGAAGAATGACAGCAGATCGAACAGGCCAATTGAAATAACGTTCGAGTTCGACAGGATCCGGGAATTTTCCGCCGTGCACATCTATTCGAACAACTTGTTCACGAAAGATGTGCAGGTATTTTCAATGGCTAAAGTTTTGTTTAGCATCGGCGGTAAGGTATTCACGAAAGGTGAACCAATAAGCTATGAATACATCGAGGATAAAATATTCGAGAACTCGCGGAACGTTTCAATTAAGCTGCACCATCGCATCGGGAAGTTCGCGAAGCTTCAACTTTATTTCTCTGCCAAATGGTTGCTAATAAGCGAAATTACGTTTGATTCAATAGTGGCACATGGTAACTTCACCGTTGAATCGGAGCCGACGGATGCACCGAAAGGAGATTTCGATAAAAATAATAGGGAGCACAAGATCGAGATACCAATCCATCAGCACACATTGCAAGATGCTACCTATCTGACGATCATCATTATAACGCTGATCATTCTGATCTTGCTGTGCGCCGTCGCCATTCCTATGATAATCAATCGCTTCAGGAGCAGAAAGTTCTTGCAAAGTCCGAATGCACCGAACATGGGTTTTCCCGCAAACACGTTACCTCGTTTGCAACCTGAATCGATTTTCGGTGGAATGAGCGAAAAGGTCAGTGCCATAGAGGCGTACGGTGTGACTGAAATAGATGATTGCAGAAGTCACGGAACGTTGAAATCTAGCTTAAGATCGACGCTACCGTTGCCTCAAATCGGACACAAGATGTGCGACACTATCGAATATCAAGAACCATATCAGGCAAAGTATGCACCTTACTACAGCTACAGTTCTGTCGTCATGGAGATGCAAAATACTTTAAGCACCAAACGCAATTATGCATCGACGACACCTGTTGGTAAGTGTTTTCGGCTTCGAGCCGGTCGCTGAGGAATTATGAATAACAATTTCGAATTTTAGATGTATACGATTATGCAATACCCGAAGGTGGCACTCTGCCACTCCTCGTTACCGAACCATCCCAATGCAATAAAGATAACGATATTAATACCAAAGCTAGGAGTAGTTATAATAGAGTAAGTTTATATATTCACGACACGTTTGACTTTTTTCAAATTTATTGGAAAACCAGTAGTTAACTAGCATTCGCAATCGAGGATAGGTCCAGTCTGCAAATTAGATATTAAACGAACCTCCTGGGATGCAGAAAATTACAAGATTGTAAACATGTCAACATTTCAGAATTTACGTGCACTAAAATTCAGAAATTTGTACAATTTCAAAATATTTTGGCTGCGCAAACTTGTTGCACACTCTTTCCCAAACATAATTTATGTATTGAACCTTCCTGCATTCACGAACGGATTGCATTGTGTAAAAGCGCAGCAAATATTTATCGATGTACAATGGTTTACAGCTGGCTATATTTCAAACATACTAAAATATCCTTATTTAGTTTAATCAAGATATAGTGCACCTACTGAATGGCCCCCACTTTCATATAAAACTATATTATTTACGATATCTTTTCCTCTTTGATTTATATGTTTGTCTATTGCGCCATTCCAGACTTTAAAATATATACTCGGATTATCCCTGGGGAAGTTACATGCACATGCTTCGAATCCAAGTACACACTACATCATTTTTCATAAATTTCTCACAATTCACCTTCAAATTCTTAGTTATCTTTGTTTAGTTATAATTTAAATATACGTGCGATGAAAAGAAAATTCACATTCTATTGTATGATGCTGCACGTATACATTTTTTATTCTTTACATGTAAAATAAAAATATACATTGAAGTACGAAAAGATGTTTCGTGCTTTTGTAATTAACGTTTGATGATACTTGTATTCACTTGACACGGTTTTGCAAGTACATCAAACTCACCCAGTTATGAGAATTAATTAGAGTGTAGCGAAGCGACGCAAATAGTCGTAATCAACAAACTGAATATCAACTTGAAGGATCATAACTTTATAATATTTATATCGATTATTATTATTGCAGTCTCCAACCGAACAAGAAGCAATAAACGCGTTGAGGAAACGCTTCGAGGAAGTCGTGTTGCCTGAATTTCCACGGCATAGATTAAGGATGTTATCTAAGTTATCTGAAGGAGCATTTGGAACTGTAAATGTTGTCAACTTGCATAATAACATTTTATTAATATTTGAGTTTATAGGTTTATATTGCTCAGGCTGATGGAATCGTCGATCACTCATCGAACCTATCTTTGGGTACGAAGTTAGTGGCAATCAAGTTTTTGGGTGATACTTCAACTCAGAAGGAAAAGTAAGTTTTTTATATTTTTAAAGATGTATAAGTGTATAATGTATATTATTGTTTTTGCAGGAACGAATTTTACAGAGATGTCAGGATTTTGTCGGCATTGGATGATGCGAATATTGCGAAGGTTTTGGGCGTTTGCAGTGAGGAAGATCCGCTTTGCGTTGTAATGGAATATTTGGAGCACGGAGATTTGTGTCAATTTCTTAAGACGCATATTGCAGCTGAAAGCAATTGCACCGTTCCGCACGGGGTTAAATCTCTTTCTCCGAATTGTCTTCTCTATATGGGAGCACAGATCGCTTCGGGAATGCGTTATCTGGAGTCGCTTAATTTCGTACATCGCGATTTAGCAACTAGAAACTGTTTGGTGGGTAAAGCCTACCAGATCAAAATTTGTGATTTTGGGACTTACAACGAAGTGTATTACAATGATTATTACAAAGTGGACGGGAACGTTCCGTTACCCATCAGATGGATGGCCTGGGAGAGTGTTTACCAATCGAAATATACGACGAAGAGCGATGTCTGGGCATTTGCCGTCACCTTGTGGGAGATCCTGACTCTTTGCCGGAGGCAGCCGTTCAACGACTTCAGCGATCCGTTGGTGATGGAGAACTTGGCGCATATGCATTGTGATGACGGACAATTTACATACCTACCTCGTCCTTTAACGAATAAAGACATTTACGATTTGATGCTGGAGTGTTGGAAGAGAAAGGATTCCGAACGGCCTTCCTTTAGAGAGATACACTTATTCCTACAAAGAAAGAATTTAGGGTACGCTCCTACATAGCTTTAGTAAGACTGGTTTTAGTCTAGAGGGATCAACAAATTTATAAAACTGTAAATATAATACAGGGTGATAATTACAAAGAGAACAGAGAAAAAAAATGAAAGGGTGAAAGAGAAAGAGAAAATAATAAATCGCAATATTTATTTTCAATCGCTTCGAATCTTCTAATGCAATCTGTATATAAATATAAACGAAAACATTTATTTACTGCCTTTATATACATACATATAAATATATTTAAAAAAATATATATGAAACGAAACGAAGAGACGAAGAAGCGTATATTACAGAAAAAAGAACACAACTTTTATTTGCTTTAACTTTGTTATCAAAGAAACTATAGCACAATAACGAGACAATGTATAGATAGTAATTACTAAGTTAATAAAATAGTGTCATGATAATGTATATTCCGCTTATCAAGGATAATCTTTGTTTGAACCGTTCAGCACTGAAGTAAAAGTTATCGTTGATAATAATGGAATTAGGGTTCATAAACAGCCTAAATTTATATATTATATATACTAGTCAATTTATTCGCCTGGAAACGTGGAGGATGAAATCGATTCTTGGAAATCTGTCGGAATTTTGTACTCCAAACTAATTTTGTATTGAATTTCATACAAATTCATTATTCTATTATAGCTACGATATATGATGATGAGATGATATTATTATTAAGTTTTTCGTTTTTCAGGGTGCCAACATATTATTATTATTCTTATTTGTTTAACATTTAATGCATTCCAAATCCTAATACTACCCCCATGGCACACAATACTTGTTATTCATTCACACCAAAACTATGTCAGTGTTAAGATTTATTTTTTCTATTAATCATTATTATAACATATCAAATCAATAAAGAATTGCATTTACTTTAATATGTTATTTATTTATTTCCCCAATCGTCATTTCGGTCCTTCTATTTTTATAAGGCGTATTATCATTCCAATCTCACCTGCAATTATACATACATAAATTACCGTAAACGATTACTATATTATTAATTTGCATGGATAAAGTAAATTCGGTAAGTCAACATGTTGTTCTTACGCCGTTATTTATGAATAATACTTGTTTTTATAAATATTTATTTTAGAGATGTTCATTTGTGCATGTAAAACCTTTGCTCTTCTTCAACAATATAGAAGAATGCAACCAAATATGCAATAATAAACAAATAAATTTATTAAAATTTTTATGAACAAAGATAATTGTTGCAAGTATGAAATGGATTTTTTTTGGTTCTTTGGACCAATAAAAATTGTTGAATAGATACAGTGAATAGCTGTATGATAAAATTGATTATTGGTAATAGAGAAATTTAATTTTTTAGTCAAATATACATTAGGATAGTTCAGAATGTTTCTGTAACGACTCAATATTGGGTAGTGTTAAATATTTGCATTAGAAGTAAAAAATCGATTTAAATACTTTAGATATGTATTTTGAGTTAAAATACGGTGATAGTCAGGAATCCATCGAAATTTAGATTTTACTAATTATTTTCAGTTTCTCTACTGTTATTTTGATGATGATTTCTGATGATTTAATTCTTACTTGCAATATACCAATAATTAAGAGTAATCTTTTTATCCAGATATTTCACTTTTTAAAATACATCAAATAAATACAGTTAAGTCATTCCGATCGATTATGATCTTTACTCGTCACTATAAAGCAAAATTGTTAAGAAAAACAATTTTGAACTCACTACTTGTCAAATATTGCAATTATTTGCAGTAGATTAAAAAAAACTTACAGTTTAAAGAGGGAAAATGATGTTCTCAGTATAGTTAGTATTTATTGGTATGTCAAGAATATATTCTGCTAATATACTTTATTGTTTTTATTTTTAATACCATTAGTCAAAAGATATATGTATTTTTACATACATTAATCCTAGTTATGGTTGGTGCACAGCAAAGCAATACGCACATGAAGATGTTGTCAGTTTGATCGTTTATAATTTAGCACATTTTTCTAAATTGGATCAATTCGTAGAAACAAACAACAAATTTTTAGATATTATCAACAATTGAAATACATTATATAAGTATATAGAAAGAAGAATAAACATTGTGCAATGACTGTCTATTAAACTTAATAATATTACGAATAATTACTATACAGAACAAATTATGGTACAAAGTTATAAAATAAATAAATAAGTGTGTACATACAGCATTGTTAATATTAAATGTAAGAAAATCCTCGTTTTTAATGGTTTCGCAATGAAGTTGATGAATGATGAATGCAGCGATAAAAGCTATTAGTTATAACAATTAACAAATATTACTGGGTGATACTATTAATTACTGATTTATACATGATCAACTCGCTATAATGTTATTTTTTTTGTTCGTACTAAAATATAATATTGGATTTCGTAAGGCAATTAATATTTTTTGTTTCCACAAGAACATATATATATAGTATATAAAATCGCTGAAGCCAAAAATAAACGTACATTGATTTAACAGTCAAATTGAAGTTAATCATGATTTTTGAATTTAAAAAAAAAATATTTACATTAAAAAAATAATTATAATAAAATTACTAAATCGTTAAAATGTATATAAGAGAGTTAATTAAAACAAAAACTATTATTTTCCGTTCATTTTGTGTATGTATGTGCCGTTTCCGTTTGAAAATCAATGATGCGACCCTATGAAGAAATGTTTCTCGAAGATCTGATGCTCCTTTCAAATGGGCGGAAGGGCCCATAAAGTCGCCGTTTTATCTGCAGACGTCGACAGAAATGAGAATTCACTCGGATGCCAACGTCCCGAAATTACTTTGTCTTCGTGTTGCGCAACAACCACGCTCGGTAGGGGCAACGTTAAATCACCTGAAACAAATTACGCTTTATTCGGGATCGAGTAAATTAAGGGATAATTACCTTGTAAATCAGTGAGAACCATTTTGTTGTCGTAGCCGCCGCTCAGCAGATAGTAAGCAGAGGGAGAGAATCTGATCGACCTGATGTCGGACGTGTGGGGTTTGAAGCATTGTATGTTCCTGCCGCCTCTTATATCGTACAGAACACACGAGCTATCTTCGTGGCCGGATACCAGCAGTCTTCCGGATGGATCCACGCAGAGACTAGCCACCGGAGAACCTTGTCTTGTGCCTGCAGAAGTTATTGGTGTCACCATATTGACACAGCCGGTCGTCCGCAGATCCCAGAATCGCACGGTCTTATCGTGCGATCCACTGACGAACATCGCGCCACCCCATGTGTATAAAGATAAGACATGACCACTATGACCGCTGAGGGCTTGGTATGGGGTCCCGGTGGCGCAATCCGTCACGTAGATCTTGCAGTCCCCGGCGCCTCCGCTTATTAACAGGCTCGACTTATTCGATGTATCTTCTAGAAAACATAGGTCCCTAATCGTGCCATCGTGCATGGACAGCTCCACTTCTTCGCCTTCCAAATTGGATGTATCCGAATTGAAACGCATGAGTTTCACGGTTTTATCGTTCGAGCCCGTCGCCATCAAATCTCCGACTGGGGACCAGGCCAAGCAGTAAATCGAGCCCTTGTGGTGTTTCGTCCGTTTGAACAGCACAGTCGGTTGATACGTTTGATGATTCTCACTGGAACACGGAAGAAATAATATGCAGGATAAGCAAACCAATCAATTGTAAAATGCAGGAGAACGTCGTCTTTCTTTCCGTATTTACATTCTCCACTTGATTGCGCAGTAATAATACGTTATAATAACTAGTTTCTTGGACCGCATCAAATATCATAACAAAAACATTGCACAACATTTATATACAACAATTAATGTTTTTATTACAAGATTTTCATGAAACATTCATGCGATCCATAACATTTAGCCGAAATAATATACACCTATTCCTCATTTCCTCCTCAGTGCTCCGCAACCGGTGTGCCACGGAACACTAACAGTTAGAGAAGCGTTGGAATGAATGTATCACTCTTAAAGGAGACTATGTTGATGAATAAAGTCGAATATTGTACAAAAGTACTTGTTTTATTAGTCATCCTATTGAGTGAGGTGTTACATCATTTTTATATCTTTAAAAATATCTTTATTAACTAACATAAACAAAGAAATAAAACGTATAGACCATAGTAACAAATGGGAATATATTGTAAATAAATATGTAAAATGAAAAGCGGAATAATAACTAACAGTATTTAGATTCTCTTCGTCAGAATTACTTTCATTATCGTCATTAGATTTCCCTTCTAATAGCAGCAATAATGATGCTGCTATTAGATTTATCGTTCATTTTTTATTCTTCTGTGTCTAATGCTTGTAGTAAGAATATTTATATCATTACTTTTATTTGCAGCAACCACACTGTCGGGTACTATCGCGCTGATATTATTCCTTAATATATCTTCATTACTATTGTTAGTATCATTTTCATTTCTTTCATTTTCAATATTTTGATTTCTATTCATTTGATCTACAATATGTGGGTTCTATAGGACCCATTACTTCTTCGATACTTAGTACATTGATCATTATATCGTTACTTCTTCTTGTACATTAATCTCATTGTCTGACTGACAATTTGACTCCTCCCTCATTGCTACGACTGGAAGTATACGAGCTCAAAGTGCGATTTCAAGATTTTAGAAAATTTGTAATTATATTTATTAAATTGAAAGATTAATAAATTTAATTTCTACTTTTCTTATATTATATTCAGTAAATTTAATAAAAAACTAAATGTTGAATATAACCTATTCCTTGTTTTACACGGCATTTTAAAATAATAAATTAAAATATAAATGTTGATATACACGTTTTTCTCAAGAACCTACCATGTAAATCGGAGGATATAAGTATAAAAACATTATGCAGTAATATTTAAGAATCGTCTTATCGTCAATAGTATTTTTACATATTTTTGTAATTGTAAAATTGTTACAATAAATATTGATATTATTATTACATATAATATTACATACAATAAAAAAGAAGAAAATAAATTATTTACAGTATGTTATATGTCAACTTGTATATTGTCTTAGCTATTAAATATTGAAACTTTCAATAAATTAGCTGTCATAAAACACTCTGTTTCACCTTGTCGGATAACAAATTTATTTTATAATCAAATTAGAATCCAAGGTATTTCAATTTGCACGAAGACTTTATATAGCCGTTTGCCCTATTTGGCTCGACTCGAGAGAACTGTTTAAAATTTTATGAAATAGCTACATTTTCTATTCGACGACTCGGATTACACTCCAATTGTTATTTAATATTGTATGAATTTCAAATAACGCATACTTTTGTTATATATTAGAGTTACTATTATTTATATTATATCAAATGAGATTAATATATTTTGGATATGAAATTTATGCAGCAATCCAAAGTTTAAAGATGTTTACATTAATATAATGTAATATGTTACTATTAAAAACAACTTTAATACGAAAGAAAAGCTAATATATATGATTTTTTAATTTTAATAGTAAATAAAAAATTATTAAAATGTATTATTATTTGTAAAAATTGATATACATTAAGCAAAGATTCTGATAGATCAATATTAGAAAAAAATCTTGCCTATTCTCAATGTTGTACAACATCTATTTACTCAGAATATTTTGTATAAGCAAATTAGATTAGCAATGCAGTTTAAAACGTTTTCGTATTTAGTAACTGCAGAATTTACATTTACGGTTGGCCATATGCACTTTTTCAATTTTCTTTAACACGCGTGACAATATTACATCATAAGTCATATTTTAGTTTAGTTACATTTCTAAATAAGTAATTATATATTATAACCAAACATATTTAAGAAAACAATTTTGAAGAACTTTCTGAAGGATTTTTATATTGTAGATTTTTTTTACTGACTTATGAAAGCAGAAAAACGAATAAGAGCGTTTTGAATTTTAGAATTAACGAGCTCAATTTGTGTTGAACCTTGAAGATGAATTTGAGTTTTCCTTGTAAGCATTGATCATGGATAAATTTGACTATGAATTATTCATTTCATTATAATATTTTTAAAATACATTTTTAGTTAATATTAAGTAATAAATTGTTGTAATATAAGTATTTAAATCAAGTATTGTAACCTACATAAAATAGTTGACGCTAATTATTTATAATACTTTTAAAAAATTATCGAAGAAAAAAAAGAAGAAATATTGAATCGATTTCTGAATATATTTGAAGTATTGTAATACAGAATTTATTGGTACATATGTCAAATATTTATTGATCCAATCTATTTGGAAAGTAAAACCACATTCACATTTAGAAAATAGAAAACATTTCAGTTTCATAAAAGTAATGATATAAAAGAAACGGAAATCGCCAGCTTAAATGTTATAAAAACAAACAAAAAAGAAATTAGGGAAACGGAAATTAAACGCAATGGGCGTCAAAAGCAATCAAATCCGCTGCACGGTTAAAATTTCTAATTCTCAAAGAAATTCGCATAAGAATTAACATTTACGAATGCGAGTAAAATTATGAAAGAACCATATGTTTTGCAACTTATAATAGCAAAAAATTAATTACGTTTGTTGCTATTTATTTATTTAAATAAAAAAATGTGCATGGTAATTAAAATGGAGAACGTCTTCTTTAATTTATAATTATAAAGTTGGGAATTCGAACGATTGCTTTTTTACAGTTATTAACAATTAAATGGACAAGCTGCTATGTAAAATTCCACAAAATGATTATTTTAATAATATAGCAATGAACAACTTCACCATATGGTGTTAAACTAGTTTGCTTTAATATTCATCTTAATATATGTGTATATGATATATTTTTATGATATTTATAAGAAGAAATCGAGGCCAGAGCAAGTTCATAAAAAATCCACTTATTAAATCCCTTATACATCACATAAATATTCCCATTATTGTAAAATAATTAACAATATGCCTGGTGATAAATACTAAAATTTCAATACACTTTAATTCTAAGTCCTTAAATAAATTCAACGTTATTATATGATTTAACCAATAATTGAGAAACGATCAATTTGAATGAGCATTGAAAGATTTTGAAAATAATATATACTTGACAAGCTGTTGCCTAGAGGTCGTGAAGAAGAGGTGTACGTGCAGTGAACTTTCAGCGCTTAAAAATTCTATGGCAAACGGTAACCTTTCACCTCTTCCATTCCAATGGAAATCAATATTGTTGCATTAATTTGAAAAGACCTAATAGATTTTTTATTACTCTGTAATGTATTTAGTATTAATATATGTTAATTTCGAAAACTGACCATTTCTATTTCATATAATAATATTGAATTTGTAATAAACATATCAATATCATATTTATATCAATAATGTAGTATTCATTTTTTATGAAGATTCACTATCCAGCAAAACCAAAGTAGAGAATTAATCATCGTTTTATTAGAGTGACATTATTGTAGTCTTGAGATGTCAAAATGTGGTGATCAGCCATTCAAATAGTCGAACAATACATGTGCCGATGGAAGTTCAAAACTTTAATTATTTCTTAATCTTATTAAAGAAAATTATATAGTAATTTTAAATAATCAATAAATATGTAATTATATAATCATGTTATTATATTAATTATTCTAAAAATAATAATATATAAAAAGTGAACAATTAATGATCATAGTCTCAATTTGTTCCTTTTCCGCCTTCACTGTATTTTCAAACTAATTATTGGTTACAAATAATAGAGCAAATTAGCGAAGGTAGGTAACACAACAATCGATCGAATGCATTATGTAATTACTATGATATTGTTAGAGACGTGACGAAAGGTGCATTTTAATAAATAAACATATTTCAATAATAATTGATCGGAGCTCTTAAACTTTCACGTCCAACAGAGATACACACAACACAATACGACTCACACACACACAAAATCCAATTAGAAATTTCAATTTGCTACTCCTTTATAGACTTACATAATTATTTGTATTAATAGCTAACGTTACCTAACGAAGTAATTGTAATCAAAGACGATTAAATGAATTAAGATTGTTAACTCCTCGTTGCGCAATTCTCGCCGCTCTACATTTTAATTTAATTCCTGCCTGAGATACTTTCTTACAAGTTAAATTCTAAAGTGATTGAAAAATATTTATTGAAGAAAGCTTACCGTAAATCGCTCATTTTCGGATATGCACATATTCTGAGCGTTTTCGAATTCGATCCCACGGCGTACAACTGTCCTCCAGGATGGAATTCGGCACAACGAACAGCCTGGACATCCTCGAGAGCAGTGACCGCAACGAATTTAGGTCTTGCAGGATTATTATCTTCCGTGTTGTCCACTTCCACATTGCGGGGTGTAGACTACAAATAAAACAATAACATTATTAATTTTACAATAAAAAAAAATAGTATCACTATATTATAATGATGCATAATTTGTTCTATAATTTTTGCATTTGATAAATTTATTAACAAATGCTATTATTAATGTAGGAGACAAACAATGTAAAGTAACTGGGTTTATTTTCCTCGATTTAAACTTATAAACTTAAAATAAGGTATTATTAATATTATAACAATCAAATGATATTTTTGAACAATTCATCATATTATACTTGACAAATTAATGTAGATTTGTAATACATTGTGTGAAATACATTGAATTTGATGTAATTGAAATAGTTTTACAAACTCTTATAAATAATGTAGAAGATAAAACAAGCAAAAACAAAAGCTTGTAAGTGAGTGAATAGGTTTACTTTCCTCGGTTCAAAACGATTTATTAACTTCACTCGGATGGATTTGCTAAAGCATTACAGCTAGTGAAAATTCGCAAGATTAATCTGCGGTCGTTGAGTAAACATAAAGGATTAGCCCAAAAGTTAGTGGAAAGCCTATTCACAAAAGAGACAGTCCAATAAACAATAGGAAATTAATCATGAGTATTTACATCGGTTTCCTTTTCCCACATTAATCATATTAATAAACTCAGTATAATAAATCATCTCTCGCAATATTCGACTTCATAAAATTTCATTTATTTCACGTTATGAAAACTCTCGATGGTTCATAGACAATGTTAACTGCTTGCAGCCTGACGTTCCGTGAATTTCATATCCATGAATATTCCGCGAGGTTTCTAGAAAGCATCTGGCGCGTAAGTAAGTAATAAACAAAACGAGAAAAGGAAGCAGAAGGATGGAAAAAAAAAGAAAGAAAACATCTTAAAATTAATTTTCTGCGCGAAACAGTAATAACTTGTTTCATTATGATTTACAACCGATTCATGCGGAAAACAGTAAATCCAACAGCTTCGATGTAATTAACTCATTGCCGATTTACGAGCTCCATGGGATACAAGAAAAACGGATCAAAACTGAAGAGACTTGTAATTATGGCTACAAGAAGTATAGACAGAAATATATCAATACACGCCATACGTTGAGAAGTCGCTGATTTTTTACTAATATATCGGTATTTAATATTATTATATGTCTTCAATGTTTAATATTTAATGAAGTGATTGATTTTTACTAGAAATTTTCATAGAAAGCAAATTAGGGTTAATGATAAACAAGTTATTTAAATAATTAAATTAGGAAATGGCATTATTTTTTCATTACATAATTTTTAACATTTTTTAAAAACGCGCAGACTTATATAATTTAAATTTAATGTGAATATTTTGAAAGACAATGAAATAAATATGTAACAACAAAATAAAAACATACACAAAGCAGCACTATTAAAAGCAGATTAAAAGAACATTTTCCGCCGATTTGTGAATCACAACGTTATTCGCCTTTTGTCCGGAATTTTCCATTCGGTTCACGAAAGCGACGTATTTTGTGGAAGAGAAATCTTTGGCACAAAAAAATCTTTTCACGAGGACGACGACTTTTTTCTTCTTCCTAGTGCTCCATTTAAGAACACAAATACTTTGAATACTACCCCCCTTTCATACATAAAGATCGACACAAAGCTCAACCTTATAAAGAAAACTTCGCAAAAAGAATATATACAACCTCATTCTCACGCAGTTTTCGATTTTTTTCTTCACAAAATAAAAACTTTTTGTTTCTTTACAGAAAGTAATACAAAAGTCTAGGAAATATAGTTTTTTATTATAAAAAAAAATAAAACAATTTTAATTAAAATTCTGCAAAGCTACTTATTTGTAGGTTGTAATTTAATAATATTAATCCTAATATGTATATATGAAATTCCCATTTATATGCTTTTGTTCTTATTTTGAGTTCTTGGTATAATTTACAGTTTTTCAAATATGAATGGAAATAATTAATGAGTACATAATAATCATAATCATTAAACTCAAAGTTTATAATATCATTTTTTCATAATTCTCAGCATACCCGATTAAATACAATTACTGTGAGTATGAGAATTTTGATATATAAATAATAAAATCAACGTTAAAATTAACCTTATTTTTAATTAAATAACTTTTGTAATAATTAAAAAATAATATTTCCTTACTCACGAAGCTACTTTCACTAATTAAAATATATTAATAAAATGCAGTTCGAGTTGTCAAACTTGAAAGCAGTATTAATAAAATTAATTGAAACTGTTTAAACGCCCAAATGAACAGTTATACTTTCCAATTCTAAATTTTGATCGTGTCTCCAATATCTATTCGGTAAATCTCTTACAGTTAGAGCTTAATTACAAGTAAATTGAAAATGCTACGTCTCGAGTTAATTGAGATTGAACTATGCTGGAGACTGTACGATATTCAGAACAATTCGTAATCTTGTGAAGAGTCGCATTTTTTTCCAGCACGCAACAGACTACAAGTGCGGAATCGCAATTAGTGTTTACAAACGGCGTTTCTTATTCACAACAGAACGTGCTAACTGTTCATAGCACAAATAACAGATTCTTCTATCACTGCGTCTTGTTAGTTCTTCCTTAAATCGTAAAGCCAGTTCTATTTTCAAACTGTTCTTTGTGTAAGGATCCATTCCGCTTATAAATTATATTATAAATAAAATAAAGAAATAAGTGCATGTTGTTCTCTTTTATATAGTTAATGACAAAGTAAATAATAATATTTTGATTTTTTTTTCAACTATTAAGTTTAATTTAATTATTGCTTTTAATAAAATATAATTAGATTAGAGACTTAGGTTCAATTGGAATTATTCAAGTGTTTTTTTTTGTTGGACAATATTCTTCTGTAATAATTTTTGTTACTGTATAATTGTTGCAATAAATATTATTAAAACAAAATTAATTTAATTAAAGCTATTAATTTTATTTCTCATATTATTCCGGTTTAATGGTGATTTAAATGAATCGTAGAAGACGCTTCAAAAGTCATTTATTTAAATAGGTAATCATCATTAAAATGTAGGCAAATAACTAGTGCGTTGAGGCGGTTTTGCATAATGAATTGTAATTTAAGCACTCACAGTTACTACTGCTCACTTAATGATTTTACCATATTTTACCTTTGCATGTCTGTTACTACAGGCCTTGGGCCTTCCGGTATCAATCAAAAGGTGTTCCATGCTGGTATAAGCAGCGCAATTTTTCGTTTTCGACCTCTTCAATCGATTGGTGCATCCGTTATCTCTATAATGAGCGAGATCGATTTGCCGCATGTCCTCCATCGACCTAGACGTTAGGTGATTCTTCGTGTGATAATTATGTTGTTTCCGCATTTTGGTCGGATCAATCATTAACAGTCTATTTAAACTTGGAGGCGGAGGAGGCATGGCATTGCGATAGTATGGCGCTAAGTAGTAATGGTCCTTGTTGGCATGGAAGATGTTACCAGGACTGTAGTTCGAACTAGCGTATGCAGCATAAGGTCTACAATCCCTATAGTGATTCGATTCCGGTCTATATGAGTTGAACAATTGTCTGGATTGTAGGTGCCTTTGGCTGTAGCTTCCGGCGTTTCCGTACATCTTTGTCAAACGTTACACCGCAGCACACATTTCGCACGAAATTACAAACTACACGCAGTCACGTCACTCTTAAGAAAACTCCTCGACGAGAACACACACAGTACCGTCTTTAATTCAACCTACTTCTGAAGTTCCCCTACTAAACACGGCACGCTCGTTTCTCTCGCCGAAGAAGACGTTTCCCCATCGCCCGTTCGAAAGTATCATCTAGTTTCTCAATGTAGCATTCTTTTCTTCATTTTTAAATGAACACGTATTACTTTTATGGTCTTCATATGTTAATTAATCGAGCCTACATTATAATTACATACTTCATTCGCGAGAAGATGAGATGCGTATCTCGTATTAATCATTCGGAATGTTTATAACAGAGAGTAGAATAATTATCTTCGAGATTATCATATCTTCAATATCTTAATTTATTTATTAACTAATATACTGTGCTAGATTTTTCGGTAATACGTAATTTTCCAGCATAAATAAATTATTTTGCTAGATATATTAGAGAAATTTAAATCTAGAATCCAATATATCTAAATAATACAAATTATTCTCACTTTTTTAACAACTATATAAGGGTAATCTAAATGATATAATAGATCTTTGATGTTTGTATATCTCAATTCCAAAACTACAAGTCATGCAAGCCATAGAAAGGTACCAATTGATTCTTATGATTCAAAAAGTAACTCTTAACTTCAGCGATATATGTTCATCGAATGCATCAATTGCTGAATAATGTATGCCTTATCCGGATTGTATTATAGTCACTGTTTTTTTATCATAACGAAATGCGATTGTTTCCGAATTAAAATTGGTAGTGGATTTGTCGAGCAAAATATTATTTCCGATCACGTAAAACATGGTGATCGAGAAATTAGCATTTCGCGATTTGGAAAGGCGGACGACTTCGTTGCGCTAAGATTCTGCATAAAATGGTAATTTCGTGTAAAATACTTTAATTTTACTTTCTTGCAGAACACCTTTATATAACCACGAGCGTATAATAACTGGAATTAAAAGCACATTTTCATTTTCTCTTCGTCGCTTCCTATTTTAACATTAAAAATAAAATGTATCGTTACATAAAACCCACGTTACACTTCCCAAAATCATTGTTGTATAAGACATTAAAATAAGTAGAGAGAAATTGGTTTATGGACGTTTTGTTTCATTCAAAATTATTAATGTTTAAATATTTTCATAATTATTAAGAATGTAATATATAATATTTATTGAAACAATCACAAAAATATTTGAAAAAAAAAAGTCTGAACCGCCTAACAATACTATTAAGTGTATTTTAAATCAGAACTATAAATTGATGATTATATTAATTAAATATGTCAGAGATAAATGAGTAATATTCTTTCGTCATATTCCGGTTTTGTACATAAATAGAAAATTAACTTAGAGGGACTATAT